TGGTACTGATTTTCTGCCATCAGCCTGCAGTCCTCAGTGCATGGTGTGCTCCCCCTCACCTCTGAGGCAGCATTCAAACAATGGCCTGGCTCCTCATTCTCAGATATGCAAATGTTTGACCTTTGATCCCAGTGAATCCTATTCCTCAAGCAAGCCATCGGAAGTAAATGTAATAACAACCCCAGGCTGGATGGCACAAGGGCATGTGAAGAAAATAGATTTTATTTTTGGTCCCAGAGTTTGAGTCCGATATTTGTTTGTTTGTTTGATAATATCAGGGAGTAAGCAAGAACGGCCCTGAATCACGTGCTGATCATACTCCCTTAGTTTGAATTGATATTTAAGTGTTATGGGAAAATGATTTTCAACATTGCTATAGCCTGTGCTGGTTGCCCAGTGGTTCGGTTGTAGCTGGTCTGCTATGTTGGATGGGGGTGCTTTGGTTCAAATCCCACTTGAGGTTATTTTTTGTCATGTTTTGTTTTGTTGGTTTGTCTGTTTGTTTGTTTAATTGTTTTGGGCCTCCCCATTCAAGTCGATTCATTGATATTAAGGTCCTTCTATGACTTTGTATAAGTATTGCATCATCATGGTTCAACTTCAACTTGTGAACCACAGGCAGGCAGAAGAAAGTATAACTCCACTGCAGAGAACTCTGGCACATTCAATACTCCAAACACTGAACAACAATTTAGCCACTAGGCAACCAGTGACACCGATACCACAGTACAAATTTATTTCTCTATACAGCCTTTTCTAAAATTTTTGTCTGATCAAAAGTGAATGGGTATTGACCCCATTCGTAAACATTCCTCATTGAATAATGACCATAGCACTGATGGTCACAGCAATCTAGGCAGGTTGCCAGCCTCTATTGAAAACAGTGATCCTGCTCTTGATCCTCCTCACATCAGCCCAGCCAAGCTTCCATACACCATTACCATCTCATGGGTACCAAACACGTGTCTCCAGACATGAAGTGACACATCGTCCTCATGTCCTCAACCCTCACTACCAAGGAGGCTGCACAAATTGCCCATCTCGGTGACTGCAGAGTTGCCGCATTCTCTCAGCTCACCAGCAAGGGACCTCTTTGATAAAGTTGGCAACCATGGGTGTAGTCGTGAACTTGACAACTAGGATCTGGATGTGAGTATGGTGTTTCTGTCTCCCACCGGCTCAGCCTGAAGCAACGAGGCTTCACATACATCAGCAAGCACTGTTGGAATGCTTGCTGGGGTGTTTTCAGGAGCGGGTGCGGGGCTAATGGTCATCATTCCAGTGGGCATGCTTGTCTTTGTTGAGAACATGATAGTTGACACACAGTCGCTGTTTCGGAGAGAATCAAAGCAGGTGAGGAAAACTTGATGATTTCCAGAACTTTTCATGCACAGTAGCTTAGGACACGGTCTGATCATGGCCAGTGTGAAGGGTAGGATCAATCGTTGTGGTCGGGAATGGGTATGGCTGTGCGGCGCTAACTCTACTGTATTGAAAAATAAAAATTCAAGAAATTTGATCATTTTTGGGTGATTTTTTTTACGAACAGGGTCAATACCCATTCACTTTGATCAGACAGAAATTTTAGAAAAGGCTGTAAAGCTTTAATATTAATTCAAACTCGGGGAGTTAACGGCCGCACGTGATTCAGGGAATTAAAGGTCTTCACTCTTCCCACGGTAAAGAATTCTCTAGTTGGTTTCGAAATCTAAAATTCTTTTTTCGATATCTCACGTGCCCTTGCGCCATCCAGCCTGGGGTTGTTATTACATTTACTGCCATCGGATATTGTGTTGCCGGTGCCGAAGGCTTCCACCTCTCAAGGCGGATATTATCTTGCACTCTATTCGCGCTTGTGAAGTTCTGCTGGTTACATAGTATCCATGCCCCCAAGAGGCAAACCCATATCTGACCGACGCCCAGTTGCGCAGTCGTATCCTTGACCAACATAACACACTGGATATTCCCTATATAGCATCCCTATGCCGAACCGTCCAGCTCCCCTGTCTACAACAGACATGAGAAATCGAAGTGGTTGTTATTGTCTTGTCGCAATCTGAGCACTATTGAACAGGTGTTCCTATTCTTCACGAGCAAGCCTTTCTTGGGTCCCTCCATTGTAAGACCCTTGCTTCTTCATGGCCCCCTGTCCCGAGATTTTTACTGCGAGATGAGATTTTGACTTCAATGTATGAGCATGCGCTATCCTATCCCAATTGCAAAGCGACCTCATCGTTAGGCAGGATCCCAGCCTCTACAGCACTCGTGATAGTGCCTCTATATTGGGCCTAATTCATAAGAGTCTGAGCATCAGTATGCGACCTCATGGTTCGCTCAATTTGTGTCAGGGACGCGTCCGGGGTAGAGGGGGTCCGGATGTATCGCCCGGCAGAAGGGCCCTCACGGGGTGCAAACCGGGCGCGCGTGCTGGCGGGTCCGGGGAGGGACAGCAGTCCCTGGCCACTTAGACTGAAGTGGAGAATGTGTTATTGTTATTAAAAGGGAAAACTATACTACTTACCTGAAGTGGAGAATGTGAGAAGAAGGTTACTTCTTCGGTTCCCACTTCAGGTACATTTATGTACATGCGGCTTGAGTCACATGACAAGTGCCACGTCACCCTCGGGGGCAGCCGCAGGCATCCGGGTATCCCCGTGGGGGATCCCGAGAGCGTCCGCTGCATGCGCGCGTGTTGGGCACAGCGGGGAGCCGTCCGGGGTGTGTGGGCCGGACGGGTCAATAGTACATTGATACAAAGGAAGGTGGTCCGTGTAGATAGAAGGAAATAAACAAGAAAAGGAAGATGAGAGGAATGAGATAAAGAAAAAGGGGAAGAAAGAGAGAAAAGGAAAAGGGGAGGAGAGACAGAGGAAGGAGGAGGGAGAGGGTTGGACAGCGGGGAGCGGGTGTGGTGTGGCCAGGTGGGTCCGGGTGGACCCGGGTCAGGCGGGTGTGCCCTGACAATTTGGTGAGAATGCCGCATGTTGTTATGAGAGACGGTAAACTGTATTTATTTGACAATTGGGAGGGCCGAAATTTCTTCATGTGGGAGGTGCGTGTAAGCGTGTTTGTATGCATCCATCAGTGGGAGGTGGGTGGAGGGGAAGGATTGGGTAGGAGGCCAAGGTGACGGTGATGATCAGCGTTTCACAACCATGTTACTAACCTTACTATCCGGCAGTGGGGAATCTTCGTCTCCAGTTGGAGGATCAGGAAAGAATTCAGGAACATCTCCTACACTCATCGTATCTCTGGCCTCTTAGTTATTGACTCTAGTATATTCTGGCATCAACGTTCCACGGGCCCTGCCGTCCTGGCCCTGTTTCATCCACCTCGTCCTTATGCTGACTCTCCATCTTCCAGTAAAGCACATGTTTCAGGTCTCAGATAGTCCCATATATATGCAAGTAGGGGCAACCCGGAGCGCTGCTAACGGAAGGGTGGTTGGAATGTGGGATTTGGGGCATCTAGGATCCCCGTGCGATCGAACGTGAATTGAGCGATAAATGTGGCAGTTCCCTCCAGAAGCATACAACTTAGGAATGGGAAATTCCCCGAAAAATCTATACCTAGACTGCCTTGCGTTGGGCTCTTCTCGGTTGCCATATTACAGATCAACTGTGGTCTCCGGCTTCATGCCATTCACTCCTGCTCTTATTAGCCAAAGTACGTGCCAGCATTATGGTTTCACAAGGCTTTATTGGCTTGACTATCACCAATCTGATTCGTTTGGTGCACAATGCCATCTCCGTTTTCTCAAACCAATGTACGAACAACTTCTCAGACAGCTTGGTTCTTCTAGTAACAGCGCCCCTTATCAGGTCCAGAGTTCTGGTGTTCCTTAATCCTATTTGGGTGACCCAAGAACGCTACCAAGACAATTAAGTGAAAAGGGAAAGAGCGTGGTTTTCTTCTCATTGTAAAGGTCAGGCCAGGGTCTGGGAATGGATAAAGTTTGTACAGGATTTGATGGTAGGTACGTGATTGTGCCTATCTGCATAAATCCTCAATGATGGGGTGTTTCGAATTCAGTTAGAGTGTGTGGACGCAATGCAACGTTCCACCACGGAGCCCTTACAATCCGAGTGACCCCCCAAGCCTTGAGCCCGATAGTCAGCGCTCATTGGGCTGCCCATGTAGTGACACCATGAACTTAAGAAGGGTCAATGATAGATTATATATAAGGTACAGGCCCTGGTAGCTAGACATGTTGCGATAAGCGTCCGCAGCTTCCGAATAAATGTATAACAATCATAATGCGGAGACCGCGACCAGTTTTAAGTGTAATCTCATTATTTGGCTTCTATCTTCGCATGAATGATCATCCAGAGGGCAATTGGAGACAAAATTGCGGCTCGAACCTTAAACGGGATGTGATGACGTAGAGCTGCATTAGAATTCTATCGCCACATGTACCGACCACTTAATGCGCTTGGAGCCGGAGTCACTCACTTCTGCTGGGCTCTCTTCAGGTTACCACCACACGCCCGCTTTTAATTTGATCGCCGTTGAGGATACCACTCTAAGGAGGGCTCAGACTATCCCGTTAATATCGATGAGGCAAATATGTCGACACTTGGAGCTGCTGCTGATGAACCGCCGGGTAACGCTGAACAAATTATGAATTTTGACAATTTGGTTCTCAGGTTATTCGTCTCTGTTTGGACCCATCAATGACACGCTCTTCGTGCTGAATTCGGGAGAACCCCCCTATGATGAATCGCGTAAGGGGCAGGTCGCGCATTGACTCCGGATCCCGACCTAGTATAATACTCAATCCAAAAGTATAAAGCCTCCTACCATCCCCATTTACGATTACTTACACCAACATGAAAATGGGGGATTCGCCGGCATACCTCCTGCGCGACCCTATTACTTCCATCGTGAGCACCCCGGGTTCTGCTGGAGGCTGTCTACACCCACACATTGACCAATACAACCTTCAGCCGGAGCCCTCATCCTATGGCGCTGAAGAAAATGTAATCAGTTCAGACTTTGTCATGACGTCCACCGCGTTCAACCCAAATATTCACTTCCCTTATCCTTACACCGATATTCATCCCGACTCCATCATACAGACATCAGATGAGGTGTTATTTCATGTCCATCGCGACAGGCTTCAAACCCGATCCCGCACGGCTTTCGACGGTCTATTCACAGATAACAGCACCGTCGGGCTGAACAGGTCGTTAGTTGTCTTCTTAGTCCCAGAAGATGCTACAGTCATGAACTGCGTTCTCCATATCCTATACGTGCGCCGGGTTCTATCTGCGATTCCACCCATTCTTTATCGACATTTTTTATCTCTCCCTGTTTTTAGGGCACATCATCGCGCATCTACTGTCCCGACTTTGAAACTATCGCTCAGGCATTCGAGACTCTCCAAAAGTACGGTTGCCGGCTCTCCGAATGCATTCCCCAGGACTCCGAGATTTTCACCGACCTCGTCTGCCATGCGGCAGAACCCAATACGGATGCGCTGAAGGTTTATACGCTGGCAGCTTCACACGATTTCGAAGAACTTGCCGTCCAGTGCTCTTACTACGCACTTCGCATCCCCATCAGTAGGATCGATGAAGGCAGCTCTATCATGATGGGGCCGCTGTATCTGCTTCGCTTGTTGCGGCTCCATGCGAGTCGAAGAGCTGCGCTTCACAGATTGCTTATGGAGCCACCAGAGCGTCATGAAGATACGCCGTTTTGCAACTGGAGGAGGCAAATAGGGACGACAAGGGCATATGGTCTGATCGCCGGCTACCTGACCTGGGAGGCACCGGCAGATGCCAGTGCAACGTGGATCACTACCGCTTTTGAACGGGTGATTCAGTGTGTGGAGTGTCCTCGTTGCCAGATCAATTTATGGGCAAGAGTCTTGGGAGTTATCAGGGGCTGGAACGATGTGAAGAAGACAATTTAACAGCGATCACCCATTTGGGATCTGGGTTGTATTGTTGGATCCGTTGTTATTCGTTGGATACTGCCATTACATTTTGTAGTTCCATAAAGTGCAACAGTCGAATCAGCTCCCCTGCCGCTGCTTTTTCTTACCTCCACGGATATATATCGAAACTGGAAACATCCCCAGAATGATCGATAGCTTTATTACCAGGATAATAAGACTCTGCAGTACGAGATTATCTTTGATAGTGCTCGCCGAAAGCAGGTCGCTTGAGCTGATTCATTGGACCCATGATTTCATTCTCGTCATCGACGCAACCCACAAACACTCAATGAGATTGCGAAGCAATCTTTTTTCTCACATCAAAACTCGTGGTTCTATCTGCGTACCAAATGGCAAAGTTGAGATGACAAACTACACTGAGGACCTGGCAATTCGTGGGGCGCGTTGCCAGCACGTGAACTTGGAGACATAATAGCGAACACACCTAGGTTGCCAGCGAAAGCCCAAGAATGTCTGACGATGCTGCTGGTTGTGCTTCTGCGCCATCCGGTGGCAACAGCCCCTATATTTTTCAGCCCTGATTCCCTCCTCGAATGAAGTGATGTTTTACACACAATAAACCCGCCTTGGGGCCTGGAGGACAAGATGAATCCGAACAGAAGCAGCTTCAGGATGACCGCAAATGCGCTCTTGTTCATTGATTGCTTCGAGCCTTCTGGTTTGTTTCCGTGGGCATGGTGAGTTCCTTGCATCTGGACCGCATCAGGCTCGGACCTTGGGACTAGAGCTTGAGTCCTTTGAAGTCCATGTTCTGTTCTTCCACTCCACAGACAGATGTTTGTCCAAAAGGAGTTTGCTGTTCTCCTGAAAATGGCCCTCCGGTCACCAACGAATATATTGAGAAAATGTCAACGGGCCTATCGAAGGGGGCGATTTTTTTTTTTTTATTTATTTTTTGACTCGCCTCCCACTCGGTTCTCCTCTAGCGAGACTGAGCTGAGCCGAGCAACATAGACTCGCATTTTGAGATCCAGGCCGCGCAAGAACCTGTCAACCCCAGGCACTAGGTACATGCGATACTCTGGGTGGATAAGTAGCCACACACATTCTACATAGAGTTGATAGTTATTTCGAGCTTTTTAAGCGATGGGACCTGTGTAATCAGACGCTGGTTTAACAGGCCATTCCCCCCACATCCTCTGTGCCTCCCCGAGATTGTTTGATCCAGGCAACGGTACAGAACAAATTCTGCATGTCCTTGTCCCCTACTCAAGCGGGAATAATTAGATATGCTAGCTCAGATTCCTCCATAGCCAGGACACAAGACGTGTTCTTGAGCAGGTGCCCCAGCATGCATGGACACAAGCTTGCTGCCTACATTGGGACACCGTGCTGTGCATCTACCTGCAGCATGAAAGGAATCCAATGTGTGAGACCGAGGCTCTTTTATGAAACAGAATGAGACTCCGAGCCCTTCATTTCTTATGACGTGGTCGCCACAACTTTAACAAAAAACCTAATGCACGTGAATTCTGGGTTGAGCTGATGGCTTTCTTCAGTATTTGCCTGTTGGAGCTGCATTTCACGTTGAAGCCTCTTAAGACACTTCTTTTATTTGTTTAGGCATTATGATGCGACCACAGGGGCAGAGTCACGAAGATGACCTAGCAGTCAATCTCTCATAGTATCTCACCTTGACAGGGTTTCCTAAAATACCGATTGGGAAGCTTGCAAATCAGTTGGAGATACCATAAAGTTACCGCAGTGTACAAGTCAAAAATTTAGCAATCCCCAGTGTGACACTGTGTCCATTGCAAACCATGAACAAAACGCTGCATGTTCAGTCGGATTGGCCGAACTCCTATAACCGTGAGGGTACTGGGCCGGAATAGGCCAAGGCGATGCTCTGGTGGGACCCAAAAGAGAAGTAGCCCATCTGTTGTAGTCATCCAACCATCACTACGAAGCAATGAGCCATCAGAAAACATCGGCGCCCCGTTACGCACATCGGCATTCTCCGAAATGGAGTCGGACAGGGCGAGAGAAGAGCGCGATGATCGAGATATACTGTCAGCCGCCCCTGCCAAAGGCCGTGACGATCGAATCGTCTTATCGGGCGAGGCTGAGGTGATGTGGGTGCCATCGGGGGAGAGCACGGTCAATGGGGCCGAGCGCCCTTGCAAGGGCTCACTGATTGATGCAGCGTCCCAAATTCGGATTGTCTTGTCTTGGGAGCCCGAGGCAATGCTGGTGCAATCGGGAGAAAATGCAACCGACCAGACTGTGTTGGAGTGACCTTGCAGACACTCGCCAATCGGTATACCTGAAATGACATCCCAGATTCGAACTGTCTTGTCAAAGGAGCCTGAGATGATGTAGGCGCTATTGGGAGAGAATGCAACTGAACAGACCCCAGCAGAGTGCCCTTGCAGAAGATTGCCGATTGGAGCACCTGACATGACATCCCAAATCCGAACTGTCTTGTCGAAGGAGCCTGAGGTGATATAGGTGCCGTTGGGAGAGAATGCAACTGAGCAGACTTCAGCAGAGTGCCCTTGCAGTGGCTCGCCGATTGGTGCACCTGACATGGCATTCCAAATCCGAACTGTCTTGTCACCAGAGCCCGAGACGATGCGAGTGCCATCAGGGGAGAATGTGACCGACCGGACAGTGTGAGAGTGCCCTTGCAGAGGCCTGCCGATTGGTGCACCTGACACTGCATCCCAAATTCGAATTGTCTTGTCGGATGAGCCCGAGATGATCCAGGTGCCGTTGGGAGAGAATGCAACCGACCAGACCTTTCCGGAATGCCCTTGCAGAGGCTCGCCAATTGTCGCACCTGACATGGCGTTCCAAATTCGAACTGTCTCGTCTTCAGAGCCTGAGACGATGCGAATGCCATCGGGGGACAATGCAACCGACCGGATCGCAGCAGTGTGCCCCTGCAGAGGCTTGCCGATGGGCGCACCTGATGCAACATCCCAAATTCGAACTGTGTTATCAGGGGTGACTGGGAGGATGCGGGTGCTGTCGTCGGAAGAGCCTGAGACGATGTAGTTGCCATCAGGCGAGAATGCAATCGAGTGAACCCAGCGAGAGTAGTCTTGCAGAGGCTCGCCAATTGGTGTACCTGACACAGCATCCCAAATTTGAACTGTCTTGTCAGAAGAGCTCGAGATGATGCGGGTGCCATCGGGAGAGAACGCAACTGAGTGGACCCAACCGGAGTGCCCTTGCAGAGGCTCGCCGATTGGTGCACCTGACACAGCGTCCCATATTCGAACCGTCTCGTCTTCAGAGCCTGAGACGACGCGGGTGCCGTCGGGAGAAAATGCAACCGACCAGACCGCACCAGAGTGCCCTCGCAGTGGCTTGCCGATTGGTGCACCTGACACGGCATCCCAAATTTGAACCATATTGTCGGAAGAGCCCGAGATCATGTGAGTGCTATTGGGAGAGAATGCAACTGACTGGACCCAACCAGAGTGCCCTTGTAGAGGCTCGCCCATTGGAGCACCTGATGCGGAATCCCAAATTCGAATTGTGTTATCGGAAGAACCTGAGATGATGCGGGTGCCATCGGGAGAGAATGCAACCGAGTGGACCCAGCTAGAGTGCCCTTTCAGAGGCTCGCCGACTGGCACACCTGACACAGTATCCCAAGTTCGAATTGTGTTGTCGGAAGAGCCTGAGATGATGCGGGTGCCATCGGGAGAGAATGCAACCGACATGACCGCGTCAGAATGCCCTCGCAGAGGCTCGCCGATTGGTGCACTCGACACAGCATCCCAAATTCGAACCGTCCTGTCCTCAGAGCCTGAGATGATGTAGGTGCTATTGGGAGAGAATGCAACCGAGTGGACCCAACCAGAGTGCCCCCGCAGAGGCTCGCCGATTGGTGCACCTGACACAGCATCCCAAATCCGGACTGTCTTGTCAAAAGAGCCTGAGATGATGCGGGTGCTGTCGGGAGAGAATGCGAGTGACAGGACGAAGCCAGAGTGTCCTCTAAGTGTCTGACGAATCACAGGCCATCGCTTGGGAAGCCCTAATTGAACAGACAGAGTATTCTGGAATGCATTGCGCATACATTGTAGAACAGCAGACTGAGAAGGTGAAAACGGCAAAGCTGAGAGATAGATGTGTGGCACGCTCTGACCGATTGGATACCCGAAGACGTTCACAAATGTATATGCCTCTGAGATGATTTCTTCGAGTCCCCGCTCGTAATTCTATGTAAGTAAATCAATCACTCGTTCCCACTGCACACGAGAAAAGCGGCCTACCTCAGCCCAACTAGCCGCCTTCCTTAGAATAGAGGGTATCATAAACATGCGGTCCTTCACACTGAATACCTCAATCCAGTATAGGAACTGGCGATTGATGAAGTTCATAACCGCATCGACAAGGGGATGCGAACCTGGCTCTGACATAGATCCAAAATCCAAATGTTCTGCCCAGTATTCGCTTGCATACGTCAGCGCAGGCGTTATGGCCCGATCGATTCGCTGTTGAATTCCCTCGATTTCCCTGTTCCGGTAATAGGACGTCTCGATCCCGCAGATGTTAAATTTGAGATTTCGTTTCATCACCTGGAGACAGCCAGATGCAAGATCAAGGTGATGAACAGGTGTTCATGTGCCATTGCGGATCTTGACACCGTTTGGAGTCGCACAGAAAATCGGTAGAGGATGTATGTAAGACTTGAACAGGACGCCCGCGACCACCCTGCAACAGCGATTGCAACCGCGAGAGCACCACCTGGACCTTACCTAACTCCAGTCCTAGTAGCTGACTGAGCTGCCAATCTGTTAGCTGCTCACGAGCGACTACTATTGCACCGAGGATGGAATGTACAGCTTTGAGTTCGTTTTCGTCGTATGAGTCGAATGGATGAGTAAGAGCGACCCGATACAAATTGTCCAACCCAGCATGCGATGGGGCCTGTACTGATGCACTTAGCACCGTTTTCAACCTTTCTTCAGGAAAGTGGGATTCAAGGAAGCGAATGGTTGTAGATGCCCAAATGAAAAGACCTCCGGACAGAGCGACAAGCTGCCGTATTACGGGGTCTCCCGGCCAATTGGATGACAGACCATGGCCTACGAAGGCATCAGCGCTGCAGGCAAGCCGTTGTTGGAAACGGAGCTTGATGTCAGATGATGTCGACTCATCCCCGATCGGCACGTCACCACCCAGACGCGACAGGGCAGCACCAATGTCGGGTTCGTCCCGGCTGGCTATCAGGAACCGAAAGGTACTCGGAAGCCTTGCAAGGCCTTCAGAGAGTGCGCGAAGGAGCTTTGTCCTCGTCTCCATAGTACCACACTCATCAAGGGCATCAAGGACAATTACAATAGAGCCCAAATCAAGCTCTGCTGCGAGTTCGGCCAGAGGCGCCTCTAGAAGATGCTTGAATTGCATATCGAGGGTGGATGTAGTAATGTCGGGCAATTTTTCGATTTGTTCAGCCATTTTCACGGCAAAAGTGGGATTGAAACGAGCCAGCTGGAAGGCAAGAGTACGTATCACACGAAGGGGTGAGGGTCGTTCCGGTCCCAGAACAGAAAAGCGCCACGTCGGCGCAGCTCTGAGAAGTGTTGAGCAACCGTGTTGAGCATGGTACTCTTGCCGGATCCAGCCGGTCCACGAAGCCAGATGACATTATGACCGGGAGGCAGGCTAGGATCTGTCAGGGAATCGATGAGGTTTTTCAAGATGTCTACTCGAGTTCCAGGCAAGCATGTATCTCGATCTCCCGCATCCATGGTCGCAGGCTTCAATGCCTCGATTTCAACTGCAAACCCTGAAGGTAAGTAATGTCCGGTGCACAGAAGGTGGAAGTCATCGCACCAAGTTTTTCCACGCCCCTGGATATTTGGACCGAGATGAATGCACTGTAAGATGTTACACCCATACGAAGGTCCTTGTCAGCACCCCCGAGAGGTTCGAGATTGTTTGGGAGGTGTTTGAGAATGTTTGGTGAGCGAGTCGGCCTGGGCACATTGATTGTTCACACTGAACTAAGCGACACAACCAACAACGAGCAGCCTACCTATGAGCCCACGGGACACATACTGCTTAATGAAAATTCCGCATTCCGTCGTTTGGACAGAAATTCGGATAATGCTGGCTTCGAGGAGCCGAATTTTGTTTTTCAGCTCATCGACAGCATCGACGAATGAATAAAGGTCAGCCATAGACACGACAAGACCGCAGAGTGTGTCGTCTCTCTCAATCTGCCCTCGAACAGCCTGAAACAACCGCTCGAAATTGTCCGCGCACGGGTTTGCGCTATAATAACGATGAATTCATACTTGGTACACCGAACTCAAGACCTGCCAAACAATATTTGCATAAGGATGGAGCTGCCCGACAGCGTCAGTGCAAACTAAAGATATGTTACCGCGGAGCAATGCATACCTTGGCTGTTTTATCGACAAAATCCACCACAGTCTTGGTCTTGTCGGTCACTTTGAGCACGCTGCCTAGATCTCGAACTGCAGCCGCTGAGTCGGTAGCACCTCGAACCAGCTCGGGAATCTCGAGTGACGTAGGTAGGTCCTGGCCAACGTCATGTGTGGTGCAATCGATAGCGGGTTGAGGAACTCGCTTCGCAGTGTCCAGCAACTGAACAATGAGCGAGCCTGCCTCTCGACCCCGTTCGTCATGGAGTGTAAGGGTAGTTCCTGCAGCAGTTTTAAATGAGACCACCCAACGAGGCAAGACTAAGGATAACCAGCTCACGTTGGTTATTTATCTAGCAACTTTTCCGTTGTGATGTGCACAGAACCAAGTAGGGTGGGACCGAACCATTCGCGGGAGTGCTTGAGATGAAAGGACAGAACAGAAGACAGCTCCGCTGTTCTGAAGGTACGTACTTTAGCGGACTATCTAGGATAACCTCCATTAATCGCAAAACCTACAGAAAACAAGTGTGGCCCTAAGTTGGGTTCTGTTTTGCCTCAGTTTTGTCAAGTTCATTTCCCGATAATACAGGCCTGACATAAAGCGCTGGGCCCGGGGGTGCTTTCTTGACGTCTCCGGCCTTAATGACCACTTTGGAATGACGGTGGATGGAACCACTAGAACGAAGGTGACGCACTAGCTAAGGAGTAAACGCGTTTGGAGTCTCCATGAGTTGTCATGTGGAACCACTGGATTTGGCTCAAATCAATTCATGGGCCGTCCCCTCGGTCCATCATTGTCTTGTGCATAGCCGCGCACCTGGGCTCTGACAGCTCCGCTTGGCGGCTTAGGCGCTATCTTTTCCAAATTCCCCCTACGGAGTAGCGGGCCTGCAAATTTTTCGCCCGGGACTAAATTCATTTTCGGACAAGGTCCTCCATTATTGCAAATTCTCAATAACCCAGGGTCCTCCAATCCATTACTCAATATACTGTACTGGCACGACCAACAACCGGTTCCCACGGCCTCCGGGAGTTGCCGGAGGCTGCTAATCAATTCAATCGTGTTGATTTTCAATTCAATCCAAGGTCCTCGCGTGACGCGTGACCGGTTGTTGGTCGTGCCAGTACAGTACTCTCATCCCATTTCGTCTGCATCCTTTCTACTCTCGATCGTTACCCTTCCTCAATCCCACAATGCTTTCCATTCCACGGAGATCAGCGATCGTTCCAAACTGGCGGAGGTGACTGTCTTCGGTATTGTCATGAAATCGGACTACAGCAACCAGAAAAATGCAGCATTTAATGCGTGGAAGGAGCATGGTGCACGCGTTTGTCGTTCAACTGTCACTGTCACTGAGTCCTCGTCCTCACCGCAGCGCCTCAAAGTCAATTCCACCAAGTTCCAATTACACTTAGGGTTACCACTGAATCGTTACTTAAGGCACAAGTTATTACTCCCGTAACACAGTTGCTCGACGCTCCAGTTATAACCTTGCTTTCCCCGTGGAAAGTCCTGGACATCTGGCACAACAATGTCGAACGGAGTTTCGATTGGGTACCTTCCGTCATATCACCTCCAGAGTCTCCAACAAGCACAAATGTCAATCCGAGGAGCCCCAGGGCACCTAATTATGTTTGGGAGTATCGGAAAGGAGTTGCTCCAAGTGATTGAGGCTTAGTAATTATCCCGGGTGCTGGAGCGTAAGCGTGAGTAATCCATGCCAATGCGAAGAAGCTCGCTGTGCAATCGGGGCTACGTCGGATGAAGAGTCCGAAGTCGTGTAATATTGAGTGGCTGCAACTATGGTTCGGTATCTGAGAATGTTAATCCGAGGGGTCTTCAGTGCATCGGAAGGTGCGCCCCGGGCATGTGCTCCGTCTTCAACTTTCTGGTCGTAAATATGCTCATATATCTGGACATATTGACACGCTCAGCTGCCATTGCACAAAGAATACCAGTGCTACTGACCTTGGCCGGGGTGTTGGGATTGACGACACCATAATTCGTATTTTCATACTCTCGCTTTGCCTCTGATCTAGCTTCTTTGTTGTTAAGATTAAAGAAAAAATCCGTCGAAGCGGGGTCGAAGATTTCGTTTGCGAATGGAGAATCGTCTGATGGCTTCCTCGGTGAATGATGAGATCGACGGAATGGTTGGATGGAACTGAGGGCTCGGAGCTAGAGGCAGATGAGGGAAGGCACTCAAACGGGCTTGGATGCCAAGGAGGACTTCAGCTGCCCAACGACAGCAATACGGACTGGTCGGAAATTGGTACTCCCACTCTCAGTCGTAGTTGAGGGGCGTTTGAAGATGATGTCACTCAGGATATCATGCATAATGCCATCGACGCGGTGCGCATATACTGAGGTGTGGATAATTCGACTGGGAGCTCTGACAGCAAGCGCAGATAGCGAGGGAGGTACTCTCGGTGTTCCTCCGGGCGCGATAACAAGATGCTTTCCTCTCCGGACGCGTTTTACGGGGTGTTCACTTTCGGAAAGCGAGGTTACTGAGACGACTAGGTCATCGCTTTGAATGCTCAGGACCCTCTCGCCGTAATGAACCAATACACCGGGCTCGTGGGCAACTTTTTCCGCAGCCCATATCAGGTAGTCGGAATATTCACGTCGACTGGGGATGAAAGAGCCTCGGTTAATGAATGTGACGAGGCGATTGTGTTCGTGAAGGTAGGAGAGGAAAGTGTATGAAGAGGTTGGCGATCGTAGCATGGCTAGATCTTTTAGGAAGCTGTGGTCTGTAAATTTTGTCATGAACGGAGAAATAGGTTCACAAGACTCGCCTGATTTGCATGCTTGCGCCTGGCAGGAGCATGCCCGGGTGCCACTGAAATGACGAGCTTTTTTCTATGAATGTTATGGTATCTAGGGGTAGCGGTTTTCCTCGTGCCTAATGCTTGGACTTTGAAGTGTGTATGATGTGTAAGAGCGCACTTCACATACGATATATGCGCGTTTCTTTTCAAGGAAAGCTATTGCAAGAGCCAGGGCGGCGGGGCCGAACCCTACGCAGACCAGATCGGAAATATGCCCATGACATTCAGTATCTGTCATGTCTCAGGGAGAAAGATCGGTGCTGGCAACGCGAGGAATATTCCCGCTATTCCGTAGCAGTTTTGCGATCTGTGCAAGAGGTCCTCTAAAAGGATCTTCCGCGGACTTATCAGATAACGCCAGCGGAAATTTTAATTGATTCATTATGTAATGGAATATTGTCAATCAGTTTACAATGCATGTATTTCACATCGTAATATGTATTGTAGTTTAGCAATCTCGGTTCACTGGTTAAATGTCATCACCGGAACTGGTTCTCAAAAAATCGCCCCAGAACCGAACCACCTCTAGGCCACTACGAGTAATAACTCCTTTGCGCTCTTCGCTGCCAGTTGAAGGGGCGGGTGCCTGAGAACTACAACGAATATGTCCCTTGCATTCCGCCAAGTTCCAATCTCTCCCGAGCCATTATACCTGACCATTCCGAATGAAAGGCCCATGATTCCCATACCAATTCCCAGTAGGCTGCCATTGTGATATTCCGATAGTAGATCCAGTCGGAAGGTGGAAACAAGGGACGAACTGATGTATGTCCGTGCGATATGAGGCCAATGGCATGCACACGTGAAATGGCAGCCTCAACACCACGTTCTGTCGAATGCAACGATCGACAAGCAAACAGCTGGGTGAACGAATCGGGCCCCTCATTGGAGGAGAAGAGCAAGCCAATAGCGAGCATTCCGGACGAATGGTGACTCCGCATGCATATCGCAGACGCCTAATTCGCAGATCCAACAACAAACTGGGTCTGCAAATTGACAAGAAACAAGATGAGAGAACATGTCAGCGATGCAATCCTTCAGATGCACGACTCCTCCGATGACCCAATTACAGAATAAAAAAGGAAATCCACCTGCCGGTATGCACGATTCAGCACGAGGTCAAGGTACGCGATTGTTCTGCAACACCCAAACAGCGGTCGGCCCCGGCGGACCAGGATCACCATATCTCAAAATTGCGTGAAGCCATCTGCCACCAGGTGCGCAGGCATCGAGTGAAGCCAGAAAGTAAAAGCAAAAGCGCGGAGTGAGAGATATACAGAAGTGATGTGATATAATGTGAGAGCAAAAAAAAAACACAGAACCAACAACTGCTCACTATGCCCAAAAATAACTGGTGCCGATAGACTGCAAGGATGATTCTCCAACGTAATGGGGATGGGTTATTTCAACGGTGTTTATGACGGGAGGAGAAGGGGCAAGAGTGGTGAACGGCATATACGGTGGTCGGCATCGGTGACGTTGAGTGAAGGTTGTTCGGCTTGGGTGGCAACGGCAACGAAAACCCTCATTAGCATAAGTGGCCCAACGAGAACTGTGGGACGGCGGAACGTGCTGGCAAATCAGGGTTTCGGTGGATGTGTGGAAGGCCGACCCGACCGCCACTACCGTCGGAAATAGATCTAGAACCAGGAGCGAAGAGCGAAAACGTCACGAGTTCAAGGTCTTGACAAGGCGAGTGCTGCGCCGAACGCCGCTAACATGTTAGAAGATAAAACGGAGTCAAAGCTGAAAATGCTGCTCATTTGAACGTGAAGTCTACAAGTGAAGTCCAAACGCTTTAAAATGACAGGTTATGACTCAGGCCAGGTGCGTTGTGGATCGTTGAGGAACTGTGGCTGCTAGGTTCTGGTCGACTCCAGCGAGTACGAGTTAGGTGGAGCTGGGTTCGAACTTCAGTCGTTGGTGGTGAATAGATCTATGAACTTGCTATGAATGGTGCATTATCGAGGGGGATATGCAAATTGAGTTGAGAGGCATTGGAGCAGAACATGGGTCGGGGTTGTAGGGCTGAATGAATATTGGGGTCAATATTTGAGGGCTCGATCTTGTTGCAGTCACAAGACCTCCGATCGGGTCCCATCTGTTGTCCAAATGCCCTTGATTCGTCATCGTGCTGGGGTGTCGCAATGAATAACTATGTGTTGGCCATTTGAAAGGGGAGACTGCGTGCCAGAGTTCCTTTGGTCATATTGCAGGCACTATTCTTGGTGGATTTCTCGTGCGGAACAACACGCCACTGATCAAACTCAAGTTGCGGCGTGAGAGTATGATGAATGTTCTAGCCGTGTATTAGCGCTCTCTGCCAGAACAGGCGCGCTTGTGAGGACTTCCTGATTGGGCGACTTGAAGGCTGTTGCTGAACTGACTTGCACCTGAGTCCTGACAACGTGTTGTTGAAACCGTCACTCCAATTTGTCCAAAATGTCCAAACTGTTAAAGAAAGTCAAGGAAGGCAAGGAGAAAGTCAAAGGGAAACTCTTCAAGAAAGACGGATCATCGCAAAATCAGCAAAGCCAGCCTCTTGCAGGCGGGTCATTAACTGTCGCACCCACGCTGCCACCGTCAAGCCAAGAAACGGGTCTTGATACCGTTTGGAATGGTGTTTTGAACCTGCTGAGTGTTGCTAAAGAGACTCTGGATGTTGTCCCGGTCCCTGGACTCAAGAGCGCGGTCGGCGGCTTCCTCGAAGTAGTTAACCAGCTGAAAGTGAGTTACTAAAACTGCTTCAATCGGCCCTTTGTGCCAATAATTTCCGCTCTTACAGCAAGTTAGTGGCAACGCTGGTGCAATTCGTCAACTCGAGAACAGTGTCGAATTCTTTAATCAGTCAGTATCGAAGCCGCTGGAACAATTCAAGGGAAAAGGGCCTGTTCCACCCGAGCTTGCCCAGGCAATCGATGACTTATCGGCGTGCGTTTATATACGTCTCCTAAGAGTGTCTCGGAGTCGAAATAGTCTGACTGTCCTTTTCAGTGATCTCGATAAGGTTGTTTCGCCGCTGAGATTGTACCTAGATCGAGGTCTTGTTCTCCAGTGGGCGGATCATAACAAAATCGGAGGTGATGTCCAGGCAGCTGGGGAAGGGATACGTGATGCAGTGAGGGCCTTTCAGGTAGGTATCCTTCGCTACCTGTAAGCCGTGCACCAAACGCTAATTAATGGACATAGGCTGCGCAAGTAGTCCGACTTGCCTTAGGGATTGAGGTGCTGTTCAGTTTGCACCTGCTCTCTCAGCCTTCAAGCTAACCAATCCTCTAGCAACTCCGCATGGATGAAGAAGCAAATCGGTTACTTGACACTCTTCATTATACCCTCGACGCCGGCTATGACACCAGCAGGCAGGGGGCCCCATCCAATTGCTTCCAAGGAACGCGAACTGAGATTCTTCATAACATCAAGCAATGGTTACACCGACCAGCCAACGATACGACTAAATCCGTGTTCTGGGCAAACGGTCTGGCCGGGATCGGCAAGTCGACTATCGCCCGCACCATCGCGCAGTACGCCGAGGAATCTGGCCTCCTCGGATCGAGTTTCTTCTTTGTCCGTCAACACGCCGAGTTATCCAATGCGAAGTTCTTCCTTGGGACCATCATACGGGACTTCGCCAAAAAGCTTCCGAGTTTCGGCACGGCTGTTGCGGATGCGCTGAAGAAAAATGAGAAGCTTGCCCATGTCTCCATTTCCACCCAATGCTCCGAGCTTTTCTTCGCGCCCGTTGGACAGCTCGAGCTTTCTGCGCCTCTTCTCCTAGTAATTGACGCTCTGGATGAGTGTAACCGAGAAGATGCGAAAGAAATACTGCACCATCTCATCCGTCGTTGCACCGGCATCCCGGGCCTCCGGATACTCATAACAAGCCGGCCAGAGTACCATATCACTGACAAACTCATGAATGTTGACAAGATCGTAGTTCATGAAGTGGATAAAAACATTGCTTCGCAAGACATTAAGTTATATCTGCAAGATCGGCTCGAATCTATTCGCGAAGATTTTAGTCGTTTCGTCCCGGATGGATGGCCATCATCTGAAATGGTCTCTGGCCTCACAAACAAAGCTGATGGGCTATTCATCTGGGCTGCTACTGCAGTCAAATTCATCGGAGATGGTAATGTCAGGGATCCTGTGCGTCGATTGGACACCATCATGGGTGGTGTGGATCTGCATGATGCGAGTCCTTATGCTGAGCTGGATAGTCTTTATGAAGCAGTCTTGTCTTCCAGTGTTTTCGGAACCCCTCGAGATATCCCCACCCAGCTCTACCGTCTTCTACATGCTGTTGTTCTGCTTAAGGATCCATTGCCTGTGAAAGCACTCGGTGCTTTTGCCATGGTCTCCAATCCTACACCGTTGCTTGATCGCATACAATCCATCATACCACTGCCTTCAGAGCCGAAGGGTAGAGTTGAAGTCTACCACCCTTCCTTTCCGGATTTCATCATAGAACGGTGCAGGAACCCTGAGCTTAGGGTTAATGTAGAGGAGCATGAGAGGTGGATGGCCCTTCGCTGCCTTACTCTGCTCAATACCAATCTCATTCCATCTATTGATGAGATAGTCCCATGGAATTCACTCAATGTGGGGGTGGTGAACCTAAGTGCCAAGCTTACTTCAGTGGTGGGGGAAGAAGTGCAGTATGCATGCCGCTTTTGGACAGCCCATTTGGGAAAGCTTCAGGAGGTTGATGATGGTGAGATTAGGGATGCACTGGAGAAGTTCACTGGTCTTGGGAATGCTGGAAAGGGGCTTTTGTTACGATGGATTGCTGTGATGAGTATGATGGGGCATGTCAGTGATGCTGCTAGAGGTATATTGGACATTCTTCCTTGGATGGTTAGTGATGATGCTGCTTGCTTGAGGACTCTATTACTGACTATTAGATTAGAGAAGGAGAAGTCACCTGGCTCACATTGGCCATATTTTACATGAAGCCTACCGTATGATTATGGCCCATGCACCAACCATTGAAGCCACTGCAGCACACATCAGTCAGTCTGTTTTGCCATTCCTTCCTCAAAAAAGCCAGCTGTTGCCTGCCTTCCAACAAGGACCTAATCCAACTGTAACTGTACATGCTGGGCATGATTCAGAATGGCCCTCTAACATTGCAACTCTGATTGGCCATTCTGAATCAGTGGTATCTGTGGCCTTCTCCCCAGATGGATTGCTCCTTGCATCAGCATCATATGATCATACCATCAGGCTGTGGGACCCTCACACTGGGAGCCACCTCAAGACACTTGAGGGCCATTCTAATTTGGTGGCATCTGTGGCCTTCTCCCCAGATGGATTGCTCCTTGCATTAGCATCACATGATCGTACCATCAGGCTGTGGGACCCTCACACTGGGAGCCACCTCAAGACACTTGAGGGCCATTCTCATTGGGTGACATCTGTGGCCTTCTCCCCAGATGGATTGCTCCTTGCATCAGCATCATATGATCGTACCATCAGGCTGTGGGACCCTCACACTGGGAGCCACCTCAAGACACTTGAGGGCCATTCTGGTTGGGTGACATCTGTGGCCTTCTCCCCAGATGGATTGCTCCTTGCATCAGCATCAGATGATCATACCATCAGGCTGTGGGACCCTCACACTGGGAGCCACCTCAAGACACTTGAGGGCCATTCTGATTGGGTGTCATCTGTGGCCTTCTCCCCAGATGGATTGCTCCTTGCATCAGCATCACATGATCATACCATCAGGTCGTGGGACCCTCACACTGGGAGCCACCTCAAGACACTTGAGGGCCATTCTAATTGGGTGGCATCTGTGGCCTTCTCCCCAGATGGATTGCTCCTTGCATCAGCATCAGATGATCGTACCATCAGGCTGTGGGACCCTCACACTGGGAGCCACCTCAAGACACATGAGGGCCATTCTGGTTGGGTGACATCTGTGGCCTTCTCCCCAGATGGATTGCTCCTTGCATCAGATGATCATACCATCAGGCTGTGGGACCCTCACACTGGGAGCCACCTCAAGACACATGAGGGCCATTCTGGTTGGGTGACATCTGTGGCCTTCTCCCCAGATGGATTGCTCCTTGCATCAGCATCAGATGATCATACCATCAGGCTGTGGGACCCTCACACTGGGAGCCACCTCAAGACACTTGAGGGCCATTCTAATTGGGTGAGATCTGTGGCCTTCTCCCCAGATGGATTGCTCCTTGCATCAGCATCATTTGATCGTACCATCAGGCTGTGGGACCCTCACACTGGGAGCCACCTCAAGACACTTGAGGGCCATTCTAATTTGGTGGCATCTGTGGCCTTCTCCCCAGATGGATTGCTCCTTGCATCAGCATCACATGATCGTACCATCAGGCTGTGGGACCCTCACACTGGGAGCCACCTCAAGACACTTGAGGGCCATTCTGGTTGGGTGACATCTGTGGCCTTCTCCCCAGATGGATTGCTCCTTGCATCTGCATCAGCATCAGATGATCATACCATCAGGCTGTGGGACCCTCACACTGGGAGCCACCTCAAGACACTTGAGGGCCATTCTGATTGGGTGTCATCTGTGGCCTTCTCCCCAGATGGATTGTTCCTTGCATCAGCATCAGATGATTGTACCATCAGGCTGTGGGACCCTCACACTGGGAGTCACCTCAAGACACTTGAGGGCCATTCTCATTCAGTGGCTTCTGTGGCTTTTGATGTGGCCTTCCTGGGAAAGGCTCTAATACACATCAAGGAAGGGAAATGGTTCTGTGTTGATGCTGCTTACATTTTCTCTATACCCTCCCACTTGTCTCTGACCACATGGGTTTCCCATGAGTCTCTCACAGCCATTGGAACTAGGTCTGGGGAAGTCCTCATTCTTGATATCTCATCTGCCCTTGATAAGCTTGGCTGTATATAGATTCAATCTAGATTCATCTGTAATCCATTAGGGGTTTCATGATGGGCTAAAGTGCATCAAAACTGCCAATCCTTAACTGCACCTAAACTGTCATTTTAGCTAAATTTGAGCACAGGTAGGGCTCCTAGCGGTTTGGATAGGTTCGGATTCGGATCAGAATCCGTGGATTCTAGAGGTTTGGAACTTAAAACCGTATCCGGCAGTTAGAAATCCGCGGATATGCGGATCAACTGCGGATTGCAGATACCATGCTCCAAATTAGGAAATCCATCAATTTCTCCATAACAACCGTGCAAACTACCTTGCGAGAAGTGTCCCATTACAATTCACGTCTCACTACCTGCCAATCCTATGTCCTCCCGACAAGAAATTGACCTCACTAATGTTATCAGTGGTGGACGCAACCGAAAGCGATCTGCCAAGGCTCTTGAGGCTTTGGACTGGTACAATTCTACAGTACAGAACAAAAAGAGAAAGAATCCAGTCTCTTCGACTCCTGACTCTCCAACTCCCGACTCTCCAACTCCCGACTCTCCAACTCCTGACTCTCCAACTCCTGACTCTCTGACTTGCAATCCTGCCCAAGGCAGAAATACAGCATCTACTGATGCACCAGAAACCTCATCCAACCCCAATGCTAATTCCGATGACTTGGACAAATTCTATGCATGGAGGAAGAACTTAGTAGGGAGGCCAACAAAGGACTGTGCTGCTGACTATCCGAAATGGAAAAAATCGAAGTCACCTATATACACCTTCCTCATTTTGCTTCCACATACCATTCAATACAACGCACTTGGCCAATTAAAGTGGTGTGTCCTGCGTTGCAGTCCCTGCAAAGATAAGGGAGTCAACCAAACTTGGACATGGAAGACTTCAGGTGGTGGAAGCACTTCCAACTTCAATGGCCACTTTGAGACCGAGCATACGCAGATCTGGAAGAGAGCATTGGAGGCTGAGTGGGAAGGGACTGGGAAAAAGCCTGCGGGTCTGGTGACAGAATCAGGACAAACCACACTTCCTTTTGCTGCGGTATGTCTCCACAGTAGTAATTAGACTGACTGCTCACTATTTATTGAAGCGGTTCGACTGGGACAGGTTTTACCACCTACTAGAAAACCATATCATTATTGAAAATGAGCCTTTTACTATTGTCGAGAAGACTTCCTTTCGTGCGATTGTTGCAATGTTTAACCGGCCTGTGGCAGAGAAGATGGTCAAGGCAGATGCCATGAAGCAGAAGATTATGGTGAGGGCAGAGGTGGAGAAAGGAAAACTAGTTCAGTGCCTTGAGGTATGGGGACTCCAACAGCATTACAACTCACCCACAAACATCCAAACAGAAAAGCGCTGTTGGAATGGCAATTTCATGTGATGCTTGGACATCAAGCAATCGAATTGCATTCCTTGCTATTGGAGGCACTTGGATAGACAGTGAGTGGAAGATGAGGGAGCTGCTTCTCCATTTCAAGGAGTTGCACGGTCCACACACTGGTGAGAATATGTCACAATCCCTATATGATTCGCTGCAGGAGCTTGGGATTATCGAAAAGGTTAGTATGTCTCCTTCTGGAAGACCATTCTAACATACTGAGGAAATTTGTATCCGGTGCGACTACTGGACTTATCCGGAGCTCCAAATTCTTATGACGTAAACCAGCGTGACTGGACAAATGACATAAAATGGACAAGCCTGGTATCGAACCCAGGACTTCTAGCGTGCATCCATACACTACTCGCCCGTTATGCCAGGGGGGGGTACCCCTTCCCTGATGGTTTGGGAGATCACTTGATCCCTTCCTCCAACACATACCATTCCTACATAGTTGACCACGGTTACCTGTGATAATGCTTCAAACAATTCCACGCTTATGCGTCATTTGGTGCGTCGACTCATCACAGGCACACCAAGCCGAAGCCTTGATCCAGACCAGGCCACAATAAGATGTCTTGCACATATTATCCACCTTGCAGTAATCGCCCTACTAGTATCAGTGCGAGCCATGAAACCAGGGGACACAGAAGAAGCCGAGTTCGATTTAGACAGTCCGGATCTCACAGAGGAAGAAGCAGAATCAATTTCAGGCATAGATAGGGATGGTGATGGTGGGATGACAGATCAACAGATACTACAAAAGGACGGCAGTATGTGTGGAAGAATGGCTGAGGGCCAAGGGACAGAGTGCGATGTGGTTGACTTGAGGGCGCTTATTCAGAAGGTGGGAGTGTCAGGTGATGACTAGCATCACGTTACTGAAGTTTGATTCCGCCAGGTCCGTGCCATCAGCAAACTCGCGCGTTCATCTCCACAACGACAGGAGGACTATCTCTCTCGCATCACACGCTGGAATGACTGGGTGAAACGAAATGGGGAGGATGAGTCTCGACTCCTCACACTAAAGGTTCCAATCCTAGATGTGATTACAAGGTGGAATAGCACATACTTCATGTTGGAGCGTGCTGATGAATATCGCATGGTATATTACCCTCTTCATTCACCTGTTTGCTTACTATTCACACTGACTGAGCAGATATTCGATGATATCTGCTTGAATGTCCCAATATATACAAGATTCTCCATAGAGCCTGCCGAATGGGAAGCGGCACAAGTAATTCTTGATATGCTCAAGGTACGAGTTTGTACTCATCTCTGTACAGATGTGTAATTGACTTGGGATTCAGGCTTTCCGTGATGCATCAGCGATGATGTCTGGCTCCCACTATCCAACCCTCAGTCTCTCACTCTACAATTTCCTTGCCCTCCTTGCTGTACTCGACACTGCACACAAAAGCGCTATCGTCGAAAACTTTCCTAATGTTAAAGCCGGGATTGATGCAGCAAAAGGAAAACTCATCAAATTCTTTGATAAGTCCACAGCAGAGTCGGAGTATTATTATTTTGCAGCAGGTATGTATTTTTTTTCGAAACATATCGGAAATCTCACACCTATTCTTAAGTTCTTGACCCACAGTTCAAAGACCGCATGTTCTCAGCCAAGGCAAATGACAACTATTTCAATGCTGCCTGGGTGTTCGAGTGTCAGGACTGCCTAGTTGAGCAAATGAACGCATTTCAGACCACATCGACAACAAAGATGGACTCAACACTGGCAAATCAAAAGTCTCGGGGGCTAAAATTCAACTTTTCAATCTTAGGCATATCTGCAAGTCATGAATCCGAGGATGTGGAAAGTGCGGAGCTGGAATTGAAGCGTTACCTGGCTGTTCCTGTTGCTGATGTGGGGATTGACCCACTCATGTGGTGGCATACCAACCAAAATCTATATCCCCGCTGTGCACTAATGGCCCAAAAAATCTTGGCAATACCTGGCAAGTAGTATTCCGCATTGGTGTTGTTTGACAAACACAAATTATTCTCTTTACAGGAGGTTCTGTCCTTGTGGAGCGCAACCTCAATATTGGACGCGACCTCATTTCTCTAAGGAGAGCTTCCCTTGGTGCGGTGACAATTGAAAAATTGATGCCACTGCATAGCTGGCTAGTTGCAGAGCAGGATGTAGATGAATAATTATTCACATGTATTTTGCTGCTAGTAACTATATGAAACTGCGGATAATCCACAAATCTGCAGATTAAAATCCGCGGATATTATCCTCTCAAGAACCAAAACTGCATCCGTAAATTTTCGGATGCACTTGCGGATATCCGCATGTCATCCGATCCGCTAGGAGCCCTAAGCACAGGCCTCCAAAGGTTGAAGCTTGTTAGAGTGATGTGTGATAATAGCATGGAAGGATGATCACTAAGCAGCATGAGCCAATGTTAAGTTGATTATATATGTACAAGTGGTAGAGATGATGAAGGGTTTCTTACTTGTTTGGGGACAGTATGTTCCATTCCCCTGTTCACCTCAGGCCTAGTCCATCTAGTTATACGCTTTTAGTTGCTGTATATTGACAAGGTAGAAGTAAAGGCTGGTCCACCTTTTACAGCTACCCCGAGGGTTTATATACATTTGAATACATTCTTGGCACAAATAAATAAAGAAGCTTCCATGACGCTAATTTAGTGTTGCGACATAGATATCAGACAACACAACATCAATTGATGTTGTGGGTGGAATATAGACATGGGCTGGGGCCTCACAGATGATGTGGGCTTGCCTGAGCAGTGTGAGCCAACATTAAGTTGAGGATCATGCTCTCAGTGTTAGGAGATGCAGGTATGATGTGGGGCAAATGGAAGGAGAGGAGAGGAGGATGCAAGGTGGTTCAGATGGCAAGAAGACTTGAGGGGCAAGGGCTTTGGCCTCAGCAACTCAAGCAGAGCACTGTGCCACTGCTGTTGTCAGGGGTGATTTCTAGGCTGCAGAGGTTGACTTACTGTCAGGGACAGTACAGGAGAGGCAGGGGTAGTGGTGTAGCCCCCAGCACTAGCGGCCCAGGTGGCAGTGGAGTAACAGGAATGTATGGCGGGTGGCCCTCACTCGGGCTCACGTCCCTGTCTGGCTCCTTAGGCTGAAGCAGTAGTGATTGTTATTAGGGTGAAAGGCTAAACTAGAGTAAGATACTTGCCTGAAGCAATAGTGAGAAGAAGGCTACTTCTTTGGTTCTGCTTCGGCTCGGTTTATATACAGGCAGGAATGGGTCACATGGGGGGTGCCATGTCAGCCTGGGTGGAGCTGGGCTGTCAGGGCACCGAGCTGCTCTGAATCCAAATCAAGGATCTTGGAGGTGTTGACAGAGTTGTCGCTAGAAGGATGGAGGTCCACTTCAATGGGAGACCCTGAGGATGCGGTCCATGCTGAGGACTCCAGCTGAGCAGCGAGGGGGAAGTGAAAGAAGAAAACTACCTTCCTCACTCACTACCCAGAGAATGATAAGGTTGGCACACCTGGCTATGTGGGGCCGCTTCACAGAAAGAAATGCAGTACTAGTCCGGGGGTGTGATCAGGCTATGCCGGTCTGGGGATGGTGATCAGGATAGGTCAGGTGCTCTATAGTGTCATCAGTGGTGAGTAAGTAGCTGTACTCTGACATCACCCCCCCCCTTATGCCACTACGCCTCAGAGTGGTTGAGGTTACCTGTGGGGCAGAGGGGTGCAGTTGGTGGAATTCTGTGATGAGGTCTGGGGCATTCTGGATATCATGATCAGGTACCCAGCTGTTCTCAGGACTTGGGTAGCCCTTCCACTGGACAAGGTAATGAAGTCAGCACCGTAGTGTTTGGAGTCGAGGATTTTCTCTACTTCGTACTCTTCACCTCCATCAACGATGGTGGGGCCCGGTTCTGGATGTGTGGAGCGCTCTGCTATCTCATTTGGCTGGTACTTGTGAACATCTGAGACTGATACAACAGGGTGCATTCGATATCCTTTGGGGAGTTGGAGTTTCAGTGCTGTCATATCCATTGACAGTGAAAGAGGGCTCACGGCTCTCTATGCCGACTGTTACGGATATGGAGTCTCCAACGACCATATCCGTCGCATGGTCAAAGACTTCTCCTCTCTATCGTTCCTCCCCTCTTTATCCCTTCCATCCTCTATCCCGATACCCTATCCTCCTTACCCGTTCTACCCCTTTCCCCCCCCTCGTGCAAAGCTTTCCCCATTGGGGTTTTGGTGCTGGCCGAGGTTACTTGTGTTTCATGGGATTTCCCACGACCTTACCATTTGTAGATAGTCACGCGTCTTGTACGGAAACTGCTGAAGGCGGTTCCCACTAACTAACAACTGCTCTGCAACTGTCTCGTGTACCGTCTTCTGTAACAACCCTCCCTGTGACTCAACTGAACCCATGTGATTGTACAACTCTCAAGATGTCTTATATGTCTGGTTATATCGAGTCCTCTAACGGCCCTCGCCGTGAGAACTCGAGGTCGCGAGTCGAAGACTCTCGACATGTATTTCGTCCTATGGAATCTGTACCCTATGGGTCCTCATCACTACGCTCTCCCCCCAGTACTCGACACACGACGTCCCATCACGATCATAGAGATCGTGAATACCCTGAGGCCCACTTACCCGTGATGCCGGCACGTTCACTACACGAATGCCAAGTAGCCGCCCATCCACCGTCTGTTTCTTCCTTCGTCAGTCATCATGTTTCCCCGCCAACGGTACGTTCCCTTTGGGAACGCCAAGTCACCGAAGGCCCTATTAGTCAGTCCTCATTGCACGCTTATGATATCAACCCGCTACCGGTACATTCGCACTGCGAATGCCAAGTA